ATCAGAGTTGTTAGAATTTAGGACAACATGGTTTTGATTCCTCCTAGCCAGCCAACTAGATGTGCCCGTCTATGCCTTAAATGGGATGGGGAGCTAGGTACCAAGTGATGGGGTTTAGGTGCAGATGTATACTGCACCAGCTAGGTGTTTTAATTTTCATTTTATTTTCTTAAGTTGGACTTAGAGTTATTTAATTGGTTAATTTGATTAGGTAATTGTTTCGAGGCGTGAAATGTAAACTATGCATCCAATGAAATGATATCTAGTCTTAGTAACTAAACATAAATAAATCTAGACCGAAGTAGTGAGGATTAGAAAATCCCCTAATCGTTTGCTCATTACCAAGGGCTGAAGCTATACTTATTTAACATTTTGAATTTTAACGTTTTAACGTATTGTCTTACTAACGCAAACGTCTTGGTATCGTATAGTCAGCCTAAAGGAGACGGACTTTTACAGATCATGCGGGTTTCCGAGCATTGACGGAATCTGTGCGGTACAGTACCAATGATTTCAAATATTCTTAGTTATAGTTTTATTACGATCTAACAATTAGTTCTAAATCCCGTTAGTATTCTCTCTGTGACTACAAATTGCAGACAGGAGAACTACCTAACTGCTAGAGATCCGTAACTGAGTCTCAACGCCTGACAAGGAGTGGTATGAGTATCTGCTAACTGGCGTGTCGGTGCTTGTGATAGAAGCCTAAAAGGATATTACGAATTGTGGATCCGACATTGTGGATCCGACCACACCCGTTTTCTCTTGGAAGAGCTCTGCGAGTAATTCCTTCTTTGTCCAATCGAAGTAATTTCATTCGCACCATCTCCGATGTCGTCTCCAAGATCTGGATCCAACGGCCCTTCTGGCAATTTCCCAGTGGTGGTGGTCGTCCCTTCCATGAAACCCTTACCCCGTACGAACCACATTGACAAGCTACTATTTCGAGCTAGTCCCCAGTCACTGGAAGCCCCACACCATCATCGCTGACGGAAAGGTGACTTTTCTCTCCCAGGACACAGAAGGCATGTGGTTGTCCAGCCGTATCCTAGAACTCCCCACCGTACATCCTGAAATTCAACGGCAAGGTGGGACGAACACACGGCACATCACACTAGCTTATCAGCAGTTTTCTGCGCAAAGCTGGCATGCACCATCAGGCACTATGGAGTGATGCAAAGCGCTGCGCGGACATGATAAATAAAATAACCCCCTCTCCGCAATTGAAAGGTTGTACTGTCGTAGTGACCTCTGGCATCAACGTCAAATCTCTCGCCGCCCCGTTGACTGCTTCTATTGCCTTGTCATCTTCAAGTTAGAAGACAAGGCCAAGATGTAAGATTCGGTCTCTCAAGGCGATATTAACGTCTTAGAATAAATAAACGCGTATGTAAGTTCTAAGTATCGTTATAATATCAAAGTAGATAAACGAAATAAGACATTTAGTAAGTTCAGGTATGCCTCGTGAAAACTGCAATACTCTGAGGGATTGTGAGGCTGAGACATTGCCTATATATAATCCTCTCAGTACTGTTTCCGCCGAAGGGATTTTATTTAGTGTTTCGTTGTCACTCTATTAGAAACTATGATATGTTTCATTGTGGCGAATCCGAGAGACTCATAAAATCCTATCTTTAGAAAAAGAATTATAAAAAACAATAAAAAAAAACTTTTGATTTCCTTTCCTTAGTTATTGTCTTAACCAATAACATGCCACTTATCAAGAATTACCGACTTAGCCTTCATCAGACTGGCACATCTGGTTGGCTGAACAGAGGATAAACTAAGCAACGCTAATAGTCCTTAGAAACCTATGTTCGGTTGAGCCATCTCGCTACCGAAGTATTCAGATATAAATAGATTTGGGAAGTAAATATAGTTCTATTAATAGAACTAGACCAAATCTTATATTTAGTATTTTACTGAGGCCTTTTAATGGCCTCGTCCAAATATCTGATATGTAAACTGGAAAAGGCATTAATAAATAAAACCATTAAAAACCATTTTAGGAAACTTAAGTTCCTCGTGCTATTAAGAGTACATTGAGGAAACTTAAGTTCCTCGTACTATTAAGAGTACGTTTATAACATAGAGTTTAATGTGGAGTCCCTTCGACTCTACACGCGACATCGTCGTCACCGACGCTAACTATCTGTCTCTACTAGTGGGGGGTATCGATGTAAACTTCGATGGAAATTACTAGGTTTCAAACTATATTACACTAAAATACAATTTAGTCAGTTAGGATTTAGCAGTGGTAGCTTGTGTAAGAATGATTAAGAGCCTAAATATCCTCGATCACACAGGGCGTACCTCTAGCTGTTCTTTATTGAATAATTTTCACTAGAATTACTAAGTGTTCATGACCACATGCCTAATTTGTAGATAGACATAATAACGTAAGTCACGTTAATACATTAGCTGATATAAATAAAGTTACATCTGAAGAAAAGTCAAAAAAAGAAAAAGACTTATTGGATTTTGAAGATTGGCGGGAGGACCAAAATCTATAAGTAGTAGTTCGGAGATTATAAAATTTAGTTTATAATATCCTACATCTACTAATGTCTCAATTAGGTCCAAGTAGATGAGTCATACCAAATACTCAGGCTATTGGAGCCATCAAAGTGAATTTAGAACACTTTGGAAATATTGAAAAAAGAGCTTGTATTAAATTATTTAAAATACAAATAAAAACCAATGTATTATCTCAATTGATCTTGATATTTTAGACTGACCGGAGGCCGTATTTCTACATCGAGCACAAAGTTGCTCTTTATTTCAGAAACTACGAAATATTGAACAGCTTACAAAAGTGTCTAGTCCACTTTTGCACACGGCATATATAATGCCATAATAACACGTTAAATAGACTTCTATAATATCGTTCGTCAAATACATTGGCGAGCTTATTATTTGCAGTTCTTTCCCGAAAAGCAATAGAGTTTTGTCGAAAGACATTCGCCTGAAAAGCTTCCGGAAAAATGTCATGGAGACGAACGTCGCTAAAAAGACGTCTTTGTCAAAAGACAATTGTGTCCTTTACGAACAGTAAATACCAGTGGTGTCGTGAACCTCCCAATGGCCCGCAGAGTTTATTTTGTTTTTTCTAAAAAATTAAAAATTAGATTCCAGGGGTCTTGTCTTCCTTGTTTCTTCTTTCTGGGGCTTCTGGGGGTTGAATCTGAGAAGTGATGTCTCACACTGATCCTTGTAGTCCTTATATATTCGGCCGGGGTCTCATTTTTGGATTTTGGTCCGGCTTGTAGGACTGGGTCTTGTGTTCGGAATATTTCTATAAAAAACCCAGAAGACTTGCCCGGCACTATTAGTTATTAAAAACATTCTGTTTTTCATGATTGATTAACGTTTACGAAAAGTGAACTTAATCATCTGGTGTTGGCTCTTGAATGCGCGCGCAAATGAAAATGGCCGAATGAAAACTATTCTATTTTTAAAAAAATACTAAACCCTAAACCCTAAATATGTCAGTCATATATACTGTATTTACTGTTTCATGGTTGATGGTTGTGCAAACAAGTCTCTGAGAATGTTTTAGATAGTACGAAGCAAACTAATATTGTGAATAGTTGGATAGTCGGCTAGTATTTATGTATATGAGTCAGAAAGTGCTAGGTTGCTTTTAAATATACAGTATACGAGAGTTGCCTATACCAGGCAGAATAGCTTCCAACCGACCCCCTAAGTATCAATCAGGTAAGCATACTTCGTCAGCAGGCAGTGGATGAATGTGAGTGTCTAATCGATCATGTAGAAAGCACACGATGATAGTGTCTGGCTTTGGAGTGAGATATCATACGGTAGTATTTCAGGTCGAAATGAGGGATCTACTTTTCATAACTGCTTTCAAGAGCGAACAAATGTGTATTGTCAGCTATAGGTAATACGCGAATTGTTTGTTCAATGCGATCGTCAGTGAATGGGTGTGCATTGTCTACTAGTTTGGTCATTCAAATAGGACGCAAGAGAATTGCATGTTGCGGCAGCTGATCTTCCATTCGAAGCACTACAAATCAATCATGCAAGTATATCTGATTTAAGGGGCTAGAAAGAGGTACGCTCTCTGTTTCATAGTCTCATGATGGATGTGATATTTACACAGTACGCAAGATTGATACTCTTCGCAATAGGTAGTATTTTCTAAGTGCAGAAAATCAATCAATCTAAGTAAGCTATTGATACCACGGGCTACAGGGACTCTAGCCTCAGCATCTATATAATAAGGCTCATAATGATTTTACCAATGTTAGGCACGGTATAGCGACCACACTCCCTGTGCTATATATTCAGTAGTCTTCTACATCGCTGTGGAAAATGTCATCTCGTTATTTATTGGACTACAGTTTACGAAACACACACCCACACACACACACACACGAACGCACGCACATACACACACATATATATATACGAACGCACGCACACACACACATACGCACACACACACACATATATATATACGAACGCACGCACACACACACATACGCACACACACACACACACATATATATATATATATATATATAAAGAGCGATGTCTAGATACTAGTTGAGATAAAGATATTAGACTAGGTGACTATGTATCTAGGAGAGCGAGTATAGTCTGATATAGAAAGTATACTGTGCGTGTGGATCTATCTATCTAGCTATCTCTCCCTCTCGTTCTATCTATCTATCAACCTTTGTATCCATCTATATATATATATTTATATATATAGTGTGTGTGTTTGTGTTCGTGCGTGTGCGTATGTACATATTTGTATATCTATATGTATGTAAAAACTATATATATAT